GAGCCTGATTGAAGGCAAGGGCGCGTTGCAACGAGGCGGTGCGATGGGGCCACTGTAACTAGAGTACGTCACCGGAATAAATGAAGTGGCGGTGGCAGTACGACCCCCCCCCTTGAAAAATCTCTCTCAGTCCTACCTCCTTTTCCCTCACATAGTGCACGTGTAACGGAAAAAACCGCGAAGCGTCACCAACAGGAAAATTTTCTCGTGGCTCAGAAAATTCCTCTCAAAGCCAAATGCGCCCTTTAACCAGAGACTAACGGCAGCCCTGCCCCCCCCCCTTCCCCTCAGGCTTTAGTGAGAGATGCATCATACGACTGAGTAGAAGGGAACCCAACGGCATTTGCACTAATAGCTAATAGCGGCTTCAGTACTGAGTACTGAGAAACTATGGGACCAGCAGGGGCTGTCACTGAAGGCAATGTTTATCGTACCTGGCCTATACAACACTACCATTCGATCGCATGATATCCACGAAATCATCCACACACAATTGAAATCCGACAGATGAGCTAGGAAGGTGAATACTTTACACCCGATTTCGGAATCCATGTAGATGTGCAGTCGATAAGCTGAATCGACCCAAGAGACGATCAGCTGAAATAAAGTTCTTCTTCGGAGTGCTTTCTATCAAATGCTCCGAGCTGAACTTGCGAGCACAAACTTTGCGATTAAAATATTATTCCTTCATTTCCAAGTTTCTCAATGCATTCAGGCTATTACGTAGAATACATGGTTTCCCATTCTTCGCGCGCTCCTCTTCACTGATACTAGTCAGCGGACTGATACAACATTGTTAGTCATAGATGCTGGGGCTTGTAAGGGGGGCTGGTTTGGCGCTGCCCCAGCCGTGTTCCACCAGTTGTTGAAAGAAACAATCAATGGGAATCGGGCTCGCGCAACGCCAAACCTAGTCTCCTCACACGTCCCGGCACCTGCAGCGAGAACGATTGTACCTAATGGTAGCTATCGATCCATGGGGGGTGGGGGAGTTGGGGCAGGGCACATCATTGGTTGGGGATTTTCGACCCCTCCCCCTTTTTTTTTGGGGGGGGGGGCGAGGGTTGGT